CTCCTGCCTCAGCCTTCTGAGTGGCTGGGATTACAGGCATAAGCCACATGACTGGCTCCCTACCCACCCCACACACTTTTTCTTTCTCTCTTTCATTTTAGAGATAATGGACATTGTTTAATTTCCTATTTATGGGTCAAAAGAATATTATTGTGGGCTGGGGATGTGGCTCAAGCGGTAGCGAGATCGCCTGGCATGCGTGCGGCCCAGGTTCGATCCTCAGCACCACATACAAAGATGTTGTGTCCGCCAAATACTAAAAAATAAATATTAAAAAATTCTCTCTCTCTCTACCTCTATCTCTCTCACTCTCTCTTTAAAACAAAACAAAAAAAAAAAAGAATATTATTGTGCCAGTGCTCTACTTTATGCTTGGAAAGTAGCCCTTGCTGCTCTGCCACAGCAACTTATTTTTTAAATGGTCTTGTTTCTTTCTCTTCCTCTCTCCCTGCTCCTCCCAAATCTCTCCGGAAACAGGATTACCTTTCTTCCCCTTCCAAGGCAGATTTATCTGTCCTTGAGTTCACACCCACCATAGGAATGAAATAAGCCAGACTTTGGGGATGGCACCAGAAGATCTCAGTAACGACTGCCTCCCACATTAACAATGTGAATTACAACTCCAGACTGAAAACACGCAGAATGTAGCCTTTGACTCACCTTTTTGAATGTATGCTCTCTTATGAATTTTTTTTTAGTCGTAGGTGGACACAATACCTCTATTTTATTTGTTCATCCTTATGTGGTGCTGGGGATTGAACCCAGTGCCTCAAGCATGCTAGAAAAGCACTCTACCACTAAGCCACAACCCCAGCCCCTGAGTCACCTCTTTCAAAGCCCCCTGTTCCTATTGATGGACAGAATCACAGCCTCTGGGACAGGAGTCCCTGGGTTTCTCCTTTGCTAGCAAAGCAATAAACCTTCTTTTTCCTTTTTCTCAAAACCATGTCCTCATTATTGGATTGGCCTCAGGGACAAGGACTGAGCTTTTGGCCACATTATGACTGAGGAATTAGAGGAAGTGTGATGGTTCTTTTGAGTCCATGTGGGACTAGTCTAAATACAAGATTAAAATTTCATTTATCCTGGTCTTGGACTACTGCAAGAGTTTGAGTGTTCATTACTGTCAAAGAAAGAATTACTGTGTAATTCTGTGTCATCCCAAGTGGGTGCCAAGAAGTAATTAGCTGTAAGCACTGAAACCTCCTGCCCCCACACAGCTTGAGGTCTACCTTGACATGACCTATGAGTCTATGGTCTTCATTAGCAGAACTTTAATACTCCAGGAGATGCTTGCCCAGTTGAATACCTTTATTATACATTCCAGGAAATTATCTGGAAAAGTTATCAAGGCCTTTTCTGTGTGTGTATATGCGTGCTGCTGCTGACTGAAGCCAGGGCCTCGTACCTGCCAGGCAAGCACTCTACCAGTGAGCTACACCCCCAGCCCATGAAGGAATTTTCAAAGTGAATGTTTTAATTTATATATATATATATATATATATATATATATATATATATATATATATATATATATATGAATATTTAGTTGTAGTTGGACATGATACCTTTGTTTTCTTTATTTTTATGTGGTACTGAGGATCGAACCCACGCCTCGCACATCCTAGGCGAGCGCTCTACCACTGAGCCACACTCCAGCCCCTAATTTCTATTTTTCTAATGGCTTGAAATATTTACTCTTTAATACATCATGAAACTAACACCCCCTAACATTACAAATTAACATCCACTTTCACATGTTCTTTGATTTTGTGTGTGTGTGTGTGTGTGTGCGCGCGCGCAATACGTGTGCAGCCCTGGGGTTTGAACCCAGTAGCTGGTGCGTGCTAAATACATGTGTTATGCTCGAATTCGGGACCCCCAAAAGACCACCAGAGACCAAGATCGATGTAAACAGCAAAGAGGTGTTTATTGCGAGCTAGCTCTGTCCTCTGCACGCACACAGCAACTAGTGAAGCTGAGAGGCCCCGAGCCCAGGGTTTGCAGCAGTTTTACACATTCTTTGGAGAAGGCAGGGACTTCACATACATCATAGCATCTCTTAGCAAACATCACACACCGCAGGAAAATCAAATAACAACTCTAAAACATGATTAGCACATTCACTGGCCGGAACAAGTTGGGTAGGGATGATTGGTTACTACAAAAGGGGTATTCATTTGAACTGATTGGTTTAAGCCAAGAGGGGTATATGTGCTGAACTACATGGTTTCCCAACATGTTATCAACCACCATAAACTACTGGGAGGGTCATCTGGCATCCCAGGTATTTCCCTGTCTCATGCTGATTGGTGGCTGCTAGGGGGTTGGTATGGATCCCCACCTAGCCTGAGTCTGGGACACCTGGCGCAGCAGATCTCTCCTGTTATTTGTAGATAAACAACTTAGCAAGGTGGGAATGTGCCTAGGAGCGCTCTGTGGGTTTTTCCAAGGACAAAGATCACGTCCCTTCCTTGAACAGGCTTTGCTCTGAGATAGAGGCTGTTTTTTCACATGCTCTACCATTGATCTACCCCCAGCACTCGAATCTTTTTTTTAACAATGACAGTGTATATTTGTTTTTGTTGTAGTGGTGGGTGCTGGTGCTGGGGATCAAACCCAGGGCCTTACACTGACATTTTTTTTTTTTGGGTGGGGGGTGAAGTTTACTGGGGATTGAACTCAGGGGCACTCAACCCCTGAGCCACATCCCCACCCCTATTTTGATTCTTATTTAGAGAGAGGGTCTCACTGAGTTGCTTAGGGCCTCGCTTATGCTGAGATTGGAGTTATTCATATTTGGGGATTAAAGTCAGGGCCTCAGGGAAGCCATCCACCACTAACCTACACTCCCATATCCCCACCACACCCAACCTTTTCATGTTTTTATTTTTTTTTTTCCATTTTCATTTTCATTTTGAGACAGGAACTGGTTAATTGCCCAGATTGGCCTTGAACTTGTGCTCCTTCAGCCTCAGCTTCCCAGTTGCTGGAATTACTAGCATGCACCACCACACCCAGTTTCACAGTTGCTATTTGAACAGTACTCTTTAATTTTCGAAACACTTTCCTCCAGCATTTTCTTATGACTATCTCCAAACATATAGGAAAGAAAAAAAGAATTGAAAGTGAACATTCATATACCTGTCATCTAGATTTTAAATCAACGTTTTGTTATATTTGCAAAACACTTTTTATGGGTCAATTTTATTATCACTTTTATTTCACCTAATGACTAAGGTATGATTGTTTTATAGATAAGGAAACTGAGACTAGGAGTGTTTCAGACGTGCCTAGGAGCTCGTATCCGGGAGTTGTCAATTTATGCCAGCTGATTCATCCACACCCTCTGGGTGTCCTAGGTATTCAACGCAGGTCTGGAAAATAGTTTGAATATCCTTGGTGAGCCAAAGCTGCCAAGTCCATAAGGCAGGGGAATCAGCACAATCGTGGGAAAACCAACAAAATACATTTCTAAATCGTAAGTCATTCAGAAATGAATACAGCCTTGCATTTTCCCCTCCTCCTCATTCCACTTCCATTCCTGGCTAGTCATCGTCAGCCGCCCACTCTACCTGAGATATTTCTCTCACCCACTTTCTTTCCAGTCCCATCCACCTGGTGCAGGTTTAGGATATCCCTTATCTCACTGGTCTCCTTTCTCCTGCCTTTTTATGGACCAGAGAGAGACACAACACTGACCACATCCTTGGCGCTGCTCGCAAAACGATGGCTCACCTGAAGTCCGTCTAGAATCCTCTGCCCTCCACAATACCACAAATTCAAGTTTCTGTCTTCTCACGCCTCAGCTTCTATCTTACATAACTGAGGAGTGCCTTCCCCAATTACGCTCCAGCCTTTTTTGCTTTCCTCGTGTATGAATCACCATGCTCCCCCTCCCCCAATACAGGTGTGAATTCTCCACCTCCACGACGTGGCCCGCGCAAACGCCAACTCCTCTATGAACCCTGCACAAATCGCGGGCCTCTAGCACCCATCTGTGGCACAGATCATTTGGTTTAATTTCTCTGGGCGCCTCCAGCCTCCATTGCCTGAGGATAGAGAGCATCCTCGCGGAAAGGGGTCGAGGTTGCAGTCAGCTTCGCCCTCGCACACAGTCAGTGCTTTATCGTGCTTTATTTCGTCTAACTCAACGCAGCCTGCCCAAGGGGTGTGCCCGAGCACGCGCGCGCACACACGTGTCCCTTGGGCCACAGCCCTGGAACTGTCTCGGGATTCCCAGCCTATGGGTGCTTCCATTCCGGCCGGAGGGAGGGGTCGCTGGTTTGTTTAAAATCGCTGCAGCGGAGGCTCTTCACTTTGGCCCTCCTGCAGCCTCCGCCCTGTGTCGCTGCTGAAGTCCCCCTTCCTCTGCAAACAGGACTGCCCCGGGCCAGGTGGCTGCAGCCCGGCCGCGCCGCGCTCGGCCCCGAGCCCCCCCTCCGGCTCCCGCGTGGTGGCGCCCGCTTTGTCAGCGCGCCGCGCTCGCCGGTGGCACTCCAGCCCTCGCCAGCCCGCGGCAGACGGAGCCGCCGCCGCCGCCGCTGTCGCATCTTCTCGCCCCTCTCGGCCTCGGCTGCCCGGGACTTTCCCGGGCCCCGGCGAAGTGAGAAGCGGCTCGGGAGCGTCCGCCCGCAGCGGCCCGGCGCCTGACCGACTCCCCGGCCTCGGCCCCTCCATCCAGGTCGGTCCTCGGGCGCGCGGAGCGGCCGCGGCGGCGGTGGTGGCGGCGGCGGCGCCCGGCATGTATCAGAGCCCGCGGCGGCTCTGCTCCGCCCTGCTGCAGAGGGACGCCCCCGGCCTGCGCCGCCTGCCCGCGCCCGGGCTGCGCCGCCACTCGCCCCCGCCCGCGATCGTCCCCCGGCCCGCGTCCTCCCGGCTCCTGGCGGCGGTCTCGGCGGCCTCGGGCGCCGCGAGGTCGTGTTCCCGGACAGGTGAGTGAGTGGTCGCCGTCCCAGCGCGGCGGCTGCCTGGAGCCCGAATGAATGGGAAGCTGGGCTGCCGCGCGCGGGTCTGGCCCGCGAGCCGCCCTCTCCCGCAGTGTCCGGCCCCCTGGCCTCTGCTCCCTTACCCCGGCTTCCCTGGGGCTCGCATCTGGGGAGAACTGGAACGCTGCTCGGGTTCCGCTGGACCCTGCGTGTTGGGCTTTCGTGTTTATCGCTTTTGACCTACCTTAAGTCAGTCCTTTCCAAGGCTACAATTTATTTCTGTTGGTCACACTTCTTATTGCACTACCTAGGAATATTTTTATATTTAAAAAAAAAAACTGGACGACACTTAACTTGATCTTGTGGCTGGCATGGCCTAGATGTTCTGAATTTCCTTAAAGTCGTGTTGATGACAGTACCGTTGACTGGTGTTACATTTATTGGATTTTTTTTTTTTTTTTAAGCCTTCCACTCTTTGTTTTGTACTGGAGGTTTAACCCAGGGGCACTTTAGCATTGAACTACATCCCTAGTTTTCTATCGTTTGTCTTTTTTTGTTTGTTTGTTTCTGTTGTTGCCATTTGTTTTAATGGAAACAGGATCTCACCAAATTGCTCAGGTTTTCCTGGAACTTGCCGATCCTCCTGCCTCAGCCTCCCGGAGTCACTGAGATTACAGGCGTTTGCCACCACACCCATCTTCGGCCTCCCACTTTTAATACTTCTGTCATTCTGTGTCCTGTTAATTAGAGTCAATTCCACCCTCACCCCCACTACTGGGCATTGATCCTAGGGATGCTGTACTACTGAGCTACAACCCCAGGCCTTTTTAATTTTGAGACAGGGTCCCCCCAAATTGCCCAGGCAGTCCTGCAGCTTGAAATTCTCCTGCCTCAGCTTCCTGAGTAGCTGGGATTACCTCCATCTGCCATTGTACCTGGGTGAAATATTAGGCTTCTGATATAGGTGTACTTAATGAAGTTCTTAAAAGATAAATAAATCCTCTTGACTTTATAGGTAAAGATAAATCCAAGGATTTGGCAGGGCTCCTTTTGCGTGTGTGGTGCACAGCATGTGTGCGGTGCTGGGGATGGAATGTGGTCTCACAGATGCCAGGCAAGCTTTCCTCCACGGAGCAACACCCACCTCCCAGCCCATCCAGGTTGCTTCATGGTAGAGCTCCCTATGCACAGGCCCTGCCTTCCATCCCTAGCACCAAAAGAAAAGAAATTAAACCACTGTTGAGCTGAGCCTTGGGGAAGAAAGAGCTGTTCAGTGAGATGAAACCCCTTTTTTTCTTATGGTTAAAGATTTGCAAATGGCACCAGGGTGCAAGGAGAGGAAAGTCCCTTTCAGTAGGGGTGATCCTTTTAGGCTTGTACAAGTGGTTGGTCCTTGAACCAGGCCTTGAAGCCTGGTTAGAATTGGAAGAGATTAATGTAAAGCATTTTGTTGGGGAAAAGCAGGAGCCAGAGGGGAGAGGCCTGAGCAAAGAGGCCCTTTGTAAAGTAGACAGTGCCCAGAACCTGCCTGCAGGTGCTTTTAGAAATGAGGATGATGGAGCTACTAAATCAGAATTCTTAATAGGGGGCCCCTGGGTTTCCATATTACTGAGCCAGATAATAATAAAACTCCAGTTTTGTGGGGATTCTGGGGGAGTGAAGTGTTTTGTTTTATTGGGTTCTGGGAATTGAACCCAGGGCCTCAGGCATGCTAAACAGATGACTGTTACATGCTCCAAAGTTGGAAAATTTATACCCACAGGTAAGACAGGCTCTGGAGGAGCTAAAAGCTGTTCTGCCCTCCAGTCTTTTGTGGGGCGTGGTAATGAGTCCCAACAGTTGGACCCATTTGATAATGAGTTCCTTTCCTAATTATGCCTCTTGGCAATTATCAGTTACTGGGGAAATGAACTGGGTGTGGCATGATGTGGGCCTGTAATCCCAGCTACTTGGGGGCTGAGGCAGGGGGGAATCTCAAGTTCAAGACCCGTGAGGCTGGGGACATAGCTCAGTTGGTAGAGTGCTTGCCTCTCATGCACAAGGTCCTGGGTTCAATCCCCAGCACCACAAAAAAACAGTTCAAGACCACTGTCAGCAACTTTAGTGACTCCTTGTTATGGGGGGAAAAATGTGGGAGTGATGTTGTTCAGTGGTAGAGCACCCTGGACGCTACCTCAAAAAAGTTACTGGGAAAATGAGATCAGTCCCTTTTAAGTTTCAAGTGCTAGGTTTTTCGGATTTAAAGGGGAACTGGGAGATGATCTCAACGTTTTTCCTCAAGCCAAGACAGCAGCCCCCATAAGGAGGCAGCTGCTGCCACAGTTACTGCACCAGCTGAGTTGCAGTGGGCGCTGTGTGGGATGTCAGTGCTGGCCCCCAGATCCCTCCTCAGATAATGAAGAGTTGGCTGGATTACCGCTCACCGCTGGAACACAATGCTTTTTTCTTGGTACAATTTTAAAAGCAAATACCAACTCTGTTGAGGAGGTGGCTTTATTTAGGAGGTCCCTTGACTGTGAGTAAGCTGCTTATGAGAGAGAAGAAATGGGAAAGCTTGTAATTATCAAGCTTCTACAGACTAAATGGCTTTCCTTGTGGGAGAACTAAGGTATCATTTTCCTGTTGCACTTGGTGGTAACAGTTTCAATACAGTGAACTGTGGGGGGCTCTTGAGTTAATAACCGTGGCTCTAGAACCATCTTCAGCCCACTTACATACAAACATTTGCACATTATTGAACTTTGTTTGCTGACTCCTAATGGTAGACGTCACCTGAAAAGGCAAATGAGATGAAAGAGTATATCCACATTCTGCGTTGAACACCAGTACACTTAAAAGGCCAACTGTTACTTTGTACCACATGGCTGATTGCAACAGGAATTGAGAAGACAAATCAGTAGGGAAATCTTTACTTTTGGAGGAAGGCAGGGTACTTTGGAAGGGAGTACCTGAAAGAAAGTGGTAGATGAGGGGGCAGTGGGAAACCTCTTTGGAAAAGAGGTACTTCCAGAATCATCTGGGACACTTGTTAAAATACGGATTTCTGCTTCTGCACCTATCTGCTTGGATCAATTTCCTGAGAAAACTGGCAAATTGGTATATTTCACAAGTGTCCCAGGTGTTTCTGACAAGTTTGAGAAGCCATGAAGAGGATTCTGGAAGAGTGCTAAGATGGTGAGTTTGGGGCCCGAGGCAGTTCAGCAGACCCCTAAGCAAGAGCATTTACCCCCAAGACAGAAAGGAAGGAGTTGGCAAATTCATGCAGTTTGGTGAGAAGAACTTGAGGCTGACATTGTCATCGAGGTAGATCCTTGGATAAATATGAGCAAGGTTTGTCTGTTCTGTTCACTAAAGAGTGAGGCGATTATCTTCTGGTTTCTTGGAAGGAGGGGTATGGAGAAGAAAGGAGACTCACAGCCTCAATATTTGTTGTTAGGAGTCCAATGAGTAATCAGACCTTATAAAAGGGCCTTGATAGTTATTTTAATAGTTATTATCATACTTTAATAAACAGAACTTTGGAGGGCATTGTGCATTGATATTGGTAAGCGAACTAGGACTATTGTGAAAAGAGGAATTAAGATATTTTGGATTTGTTCTGCGAACCCTTGTCTCTGCCTAGTGTCAGAGTAACACCTGAAACCTAGTTGGATTCAGAATGCTGGGGACATGGGCAGGAGGGCCTAGGGAAAGAATGATTTTTTTTTTCCTTCTGCTATCAAACAAATGTAAGGCCCAGATCTTCTGAATTTTAATACCTGCAAGTAGAACCCGAACATCTCATTCTGACATACAGCCCAGGTAGGCAGCACAGGTGCACCAGTGAGGACTCATTTTGCTAAGTGTTTAGACTCCCGCCATAAGTTTCTTTCTTTCTTTTTTTTTTTTTTAATTTAGTACTAGGAATTGAACTCAGGGGCACTCAACCACTGAACCACATTCCCAACCCTATTTTGTATTTTCTTAAGAGACAGGGTCTCACTGAGTTGCTTAGTGTCTCACCGTTGCTGAGGCTGGCTTTGAACTCATGAACCTCCTGCCTCAGCTTCCCGAGCCACTGGGATTACAGGTGTGCGCCATCATACCTTCCATGGAGGTGCTCTTTAGATTAGTAATCAATATTTGGTTGGGGAAAGAGAAGAAGGAAGTGGGATTGGGCGAGCTTCTGCTGCCCATCTGTGTCTGAGGTCTGCAAACGCACCGGGACTGTCAGTACCTGGTCCAGCACAGGCTACAATGTGAGTTATTTGACAATTCTAATAATTCCTTGGATATAATGTTTTTCTGTTTCCTTTTTATGCTTTGTTTTTATGGATGTGAACTATCAACGAGAGTCTGCTGCATTTTATTTGGAAATAATTTCATGACTTGATGTTTTTTATTTTTTTCCAAAACTTACAGAAAATTAACCCAAGCCAATAATGAAAATCTTTTGCCTCCAAAGTGTAAATATCACTGTGAGAACTGTCTGTCTATAGAAATTTACAAGTTTTCTTATCCTTGGTATTCTAAAGTTTCACCTGTTGAGCAGGTGCAGTCTTTAGCACAGGGAACATTCCATTGTTTCTTGGACTGTTCTTAACCACTATATTGCCTCTTGTTCTTGATCCCCTGTTAGACTGTTGGCCTTATGGAGCTCTCCCCCAAGTCTCTTCATGTTTTTAATGCCTTTATCTTTATTTCATGACATTTTCTGAAATTTCCTGTTTTGCAGTCATTTTACATTTCTAGAGATTTTCTAGTTCTCCAGTAGCCCCCCTTTCATGGAAATCTGTTTTGTGTCTATAATAGGAGCTTTAAATGCAAGTAGATATGTTTGCTTTTTTTCTCCTTCCACCTCTCCGAAGAGCAGTTTGTCAGCTGAGTGGGAAGAGGGTCTGGTGAGTTGGCATCTGGCCTTCCCTGGAGAATGTATGAGGCAGCCTCCTGAGGACCTGACCTCTACCTTCCCTAAAGCAAGGAGGACTTCATTCTGTGTCCCACGGTCTAACCTCTTGCCTTTTGAAAAACGGAGCTCGGTGCCATGGCTCTTGCTTGTATCCCAGCTACTCAGAGGCTGAGCCAGGAGGATCTCAAGTTCAAAGCCAGCCTCAGCAACTTAGTGAGGCCTTAAGCAACTTAGCCAGACCCTGTCTCAAAATTTAAAAAATAAATAAATAAAAGGGTTGGGGATGTGGCTCAGGGGTTAAGTGCCTCTGGGTTCAATCCTTAGTACCAAATAAATAAAAATTAATAAATAAATATGTGTATAGAAAGGGCTGGGGGTGTGGCTCAGTGTTGGAGCGTCCCTGGGTCAGTCCCCAGGTGGTTGGTAGGTAGGTACCCTCAGGTCCACAGCAAGATCTTGATATGGTCTGCTCTTGCAGGTTGCTTCAGCCTTGGAAGCCTTTCTGTGGCACACCGCCCACTTTCTCTGGCGCCTTCTGTTTCTACCCAGCAGCCAAAGCCATCTTTCCCAGGCTCTTCCTGTGAGAGGGAAAGCTGTGGCCAGTGGCTGCTTCGGATTTCATTCTTGAATGGACTGCCTTACAGCTGGCCCTCGGCCTCTCCTGCCCCCCTGTGGGCAGATTTACCTTGAAGCCTCTCCAGGGCACCCTTGGAAGGGCCACCTTTGCCTTTGTTAGCTCCTGCAGTTCCCTCCACTGTGGTTCCTCTGAACTCAGACCTGTCCCTGTCTTCCTGGGACTCCTCCAAGTGTGTGGCTTCTTGACAGCATCCTTCTTATTTTCCAATATCACTGATCTTTCTCTGTGTGGGGGTGGTGCTGGGCGTTCAACCCAGGGCCCCGTGCATGCTGGGCTGGCACTCAAGCACCCTCCTGCTGAGCCTCATCCCTAGCCCTTTTATTATTATTATTTTTTTAATATTTATTTTTTGGTGTAGATGGACAACACAATGCCTTTATTTTTATGTGGTGCTGAGGATCTAACCTGTGTCTACCACTAAGCCACAATCCCAGCCCATTCCTAGCCCTTTTATTTTTTTTTTTTTGTATTTTGAAACAGGGTGGCACTAGGTGGCTCAGGGCCTCACTAAGTTGCTGAGACTGGCCTTGAACTTAATCCTGCCTCAGCCTCCCAGGTCACTCCCATAACAGGCATGCACCACTGTGCGGGACTCAGCTATGTCTTCTTCAGAGGGTACTCTCTATGAAGACTCGGCAAACACCTGTAAGATGTATGTGTCCACCACTAGGCATTTTCTTTTCAAATTAGTACATTTGCCCTGATTTCATCTGTTCTGGGCAGGACAGAAACACTTTAGCTGTGATTCTTAGCACAGGATATTCGCCTTTTGTCCTTTTTTTTTCACGGTACTGAGGTTGAACCCAGGGGCATTCCACCTCTGAGTTACATCCCCAGCCCTTGTTTGTCTTTAATCTTATTTTCAGACAGGATCTCATGAAGCTCCCAGGCTGGTCTTGAACTTGCCATCCTCCTGCCTCAGCCTCCCAGGTGACTGGGACAACAGGTGTACGCCCCCAATCCTGGCTGTGGCTTTGTTCTTTAAACATATTTGGCCATAGGAACTTCATTACTGAAAAGTCTTGGGAAGGAGAAAGACGTATGTTTCATTTCACTGTCATTAGATCAACAGACCCAAGGACGTATTGATTGTGTGTGAGCTGTTAGTTCCCATACTAATACTAATACTTTGGGCTGGCACACTTTGGGTGGCACACGCCTGCAGTCTCAGCCACTCAGGAAGCTGAGGCAGGAGGATCACAAGTTCAAGGCCAGCCTAGGTGACTTAGTGAGACCTGGTCTCAAAATTAAAAAAAATAAAAATGGCTAGGAATATATCTGAATGGTAAAACACCCCTGGGTTCACCCCTAGTACTACAGAAACAAACACGAAAACCAAGTCCACACACAAAAACTTTCTAAGCAGAAATGTAAAAGAAGAATGTCTTCGGTTACTGGCAGCAAAAAACAGGTGTGGCCATGTGCAGCAGCTCCTGGACTGGGTTTGGTGGACCCCTGACCTGGAGAGAACTATGCTGTCAGCAGAATACTGCTTCTGGCTTTCTTAACTAAAAATGACCGTTTTCTTGGTATCCCAGATACTGACTAATGCTAGTGATGAAGGTCACTGGTGTTGGTCTGTGTTTTCTGGCCTGACTGTTCAGAGGATTATTCTGGAAAAGCCCAGCTTGATGCAGCGGTTGGCTGCTGTCAGACCAGCTTTTCTTGGGGAGGGATTTCCTTTTCCTCAGAGATGTCCTTTAGGTGAGGCTGTCGCGACTGAAGGTAAAAGTTCAGCCTTTTCTGGAAAACACTGAGGCGTCCTTGTCTAGTCTGTGACTGACGCCTGGTAAGAAAGGTCTCTTGCCTTGTTGGGCCGTGTATTTTTAGACACTCTGGGTAGAGTCATGACCTTCATTTGATATCTCCGGTAATGCCAGGCGGGTCGTGACACTGCGTTGTACACTTTGTGCTGTACCAGCTGTGTGCTGTAATGACAATGACGTCTGACGGGTGGAGGAGGTGGAACTTGACCTCTGTCTATTCCTGGCACGTAGGATAGGCGGCTGTGTGTGCCCGGCTGCTCCCTCACAGGCAGGCGCCACACGGTTGGAGATGATGACAGGCAGCCATCCGCGGTGCAGGTACTCTCCACTGTCTGTAAAATGCCCAGTGGGACACCTGGTTCTCAGGGTTGTTAGAAAAAGCAGTGAAAAGAATGTGGAAGTGGCTGTGGCACATTCTCTCAAATGCCAGTAGCTTGCTCTTAAGTCCAGAAGACAAGCATCACTAAGCAGAAGAGGTGTAGCTGTCACCTAGCCGGTCCATCTTGCTCAACTCAATCTTCACAGTAACCAAACAATGGAAGCTTAGAGTCTTCTAGGTGCTGGATAAGGATTGGAGATCAAGTCACCAAGGGTGCGGGCCAGGTGTAAGAAAATGAGAGCCACCAAATTGTGCTCCATTAATTTGAACAACTGAGCTTGTATCTATATTAGTTCTATTTAAATATATTGTGCCAGGTATGCTGGTGTACACCTGTAGTCAAGCTCAGCACCTGAGGAGACTGAGGCAGGAGGATCACAAATTCAAGGCCAGCCTTGGGAACTTAGCAAGACTCTGTCTCAGAATTTGAAAGGAATAAATATACCATGTAGTCAACATCCAAGCTGTTTTATGTTGCTGAATATTGTCTTCATTTTTGCTGGCTTGTCTTGAAGGTGACCAAATTTATTCAGGAACCAGGTCTGATAAGCGTAATGAAAACCAGCTATTTTATTAGTTCTGAAGTTTCTGAGGCGGTTCCACAATTGGCCAGCAGATGGCACCATTGGATTGCTGCTTCAATGATGCCTTCCTGTGACGTTGGTTGGTCGCAGTTTTGGTGTATTGTGTACTTTATTCTTGAAGGTTTTCTTGGGCCCAAGGTTGATCAGCTTCGGCAGCTTCCCAGGTGTGTACCCAAGATAATTCTGCCTTTTGCTTATTCTTTGACTTTTAATCATTGTTTTTGCTGAGTTACCCTTTCAAGATAGTAAGCTCAAACTGAGAAAAATTATTCACCAACTAAACGGTTTGAACACAGCCTGGAACACACAGTTCCTTGTATCTAGAGGGACAAATCTGGAGAGGTGTCTGATTCCTGCATGGTGTCAGGACTGCTTCAGATGGGTGGTGAGCCCCGATCAGTTTGGGCTTGGACCTTTATCATCCAGCATTGTAATTATCGATGGGAATGTGTTTTATTAAATCTTGGACGATTTCCTTGTGCTTACTACTCTAGGATCTTGCCGTCTGCCTAGATTGCTTTAGAAGTGTGTGGTAAATGGTATCATTAAGGATGCATATATATATATATATAAATATTTTAATGATTTGCCCATTTTTTAGGAAAGTAAGCAGATGACTAAATGTGAGAAGTTTATTTACTGTAGATTGATGTTGTTAATCTGAATATCCAAAATCCAAAAATGCTCTAAAATCTGAAACTTTGCAGGTACTATTAACTATTACCAATACCTCACTTCTACTTTATTTCATTAGAATAAATATCTTACTCTTATAATAGCCATTAAAGAATTGTTGGATATTTAAGATTTTTTAGATTTCTTAACTACAGTAGTACAGATTGAATATATCTTTATCTGAAAGGCTTGGGACCATAGGTATGATTCCCCAAAGGAAAAGTCCATACCTGGCCTCCTGAGATGAGTTGCAGTCAAAACAACGGCACGCTGGAAATAGCCTGAAATTACCTTCAGGCTAGGTACATACAGTGTATATGAAACAAATGAGTCTTATGTTTGACTTGGTTCTATCCACAAAATATTTCATTATGTATCTGCAAATATTCCAAAATTTTAAAAATCTGAAATTCAAAACATTCTGGTCCCAAGCCTTTCAGATAAAGATATATTCAATCTGTACTACAGTATTTAAGAAATCTAAAATATCTTAAATATCCAACAATTCTTTAATGGCTATTAAAAGAGTAAGAAAAGATATTTATTCTAATGAAATAAAGTAGAAGTGAGGTATTGGTAATAGTTAATAGCAGAAGGGATGAAAGCATCTAGTTCTAGCCATATATGAAAATATGCTTATAGAATTAGTGGCAAGGGGTGGGCTGCTTGCCACTAAGAAATAGGTTTTCTGTTGTGATGATGGTGCTTACACAGACCAGGCAAGTGCTCTGCCACAGGCTCCACTCCCAAGACCTGAGATACAGCTGTTTTGACGAGTCTATTGCCTATGTAAATCCTATGTAAATCGTATAACTTGGGTATGCACTGAGAATGATGGCTGATACTTTTTCTAGCAAAGTGGCAGAAACTCAATACATATGAGGTCAAATTCAAAATGCTTATTTCCAAACATGAAATTAGACCTAGAAGCCAGTCTGAGTACCAGACGAAGTTCAGCAAAGGTTTTGGCCACAATTTGGTGTTTTTCGATACCTTAATTTCCATTTGGATGAATTTATTTGGCCTCAGGAAATAAGCTTTGAACATTGAACTTTTCTTAATGCATGAAGATATTTATTTATTTATTTTTTGGTACCAGGGATTGAGCTCAGAGGCACTCAACCACTGAGCCACATCCCCAGCCCTATTTTGTATTTTATTTAGAGACAGGGTCTCACTGAGTTGCTTAGTGCCTTACCTTTGCTGAGGCTGGCTCTGAATTTGCCATCCTCCTGTCTCAGCCTCCCAAGCTGCTGGGATTACAGGTGTGAGCCACCATACCTGGCTTGAAGATCTTTTTATTAAAGTTCAGACAGGGATCTCTTATTAAGTCATACGGTTTCTGTAAAATGGCAAGAAATCTTGGAAATAGACATGTATTTGTGTGTGAAAGGAAATTTTTTAAATGCTTGATACTTACAAAAATGAATGGGACCTTTTGTGTGTTTGGAGATGGAACCCCAGGGCACGCGCTAGGCAAGTGCTCTACCCCAAGCTGTACCCCAGCCCCCTCCTAGGTGATAAGCAGTGAGGATGGTTGTAGAGTTTTTCCTCACTGGTTGTAGAGTGGACATTGTTAGAGTAGCTGCTTCCTGGGATTGGGAAGAGGATTGAAATGCAGTCAAAGCAAGCAGTGAGCTTGGCGCATATCCAGCATTCTGTGGTCTTAAGGTGTTTTATAGTTCATTGTGCTGCTCTAACAGAACACTTGAGACTGGGTCATTTATAAAGGACAAATTTAGCCTATAATTCCAATGACTTGGGAGGCTGAGGCAGGAGGATTACAAGTTCAAGGCCAGCCTCAGCAACGTAGTAAGGCTCTAAGCAACTTAGTGAGAACTTGTATCCAAAACTAAAAAGGGCTGGAGATGTGGCTCAAAGGCAAATTGTCCCTAAGTTCAATTCCCATTCCTCAAAAACAAAAACAAACAAGCAACAGATTTATTTCTTATCTACTTATTTCTTCCATTTCCTCCATGAAATGGGAAGTCCATGATTGAGGGACCAGCATCTTGCTGCATCAGCCCATGGTGGAAGGTGGAAGGGCAAGAGTAAGGGGCCGGAGGATGGGGCCGGAGAGTGAGCAGAAGGCGGGCCTGGACTCATTCCCTTCACAGTTAGTCCACTCTGGGCAATATCTGCATTAATCCATCCATCCGTTTCCCCCAGCTTTACTGAAGACTATGTACTGACCATACAATAACAATGTGATAGTTCAGTAATTTGTAATGAATTTATATAGCCATGCAGCCACCACTATGGTCCAGGCTGGGAACATTTCTGTCCCCCAGATCCCTCAAGGCCGCCCAGGCCACGCATCCAGGGGTCTGCTTTCTCCCCCAGAGTCAGGCCTCTGACACGCCTTTCTTGGTGTGAGCTCCTGTCCCAGGAGTTCCTCCATTGCTGTGTGGACCTGCTGCATTTTACTGGCGCCCAGGATGCTCATTGAGTTGTTTCCATTCAGAGCATCATGAAGATTCCCGCTGCTGCGACATTCGTGAGCCATTCTTGGTGGGCACATATGTTCTCATTTGTCTGGAATAGATTCCTGGAAGTGAAATTATCTGGTCATGTGCTAAACCGATGTGTAACTTTTTAAAATAATGCAAAACTGTTTCCAAAATGGCTGAGGCATTTGAAAACCACCTGCCTGCAGCAGGAGGAGACTGTATCCTCCACACTCTTTGGTCCTTTTGACTATGGCCATTTCAGCAGGTATGTGATGGTGTCTCCGAATAGTCCTGATTTGCAAGTGCATTAAGATTATGATTTGCAAATATGTTCTCTCGTTCTGTGTCTTGTCACATTTTTTATTTTTATTTATTTATTTATTTATTTTTTTGGTGCTGGGGATGGAACCCAGTGTTACATACATGTTAGGCAAGAGCTTTACCACTGAGCTACATCCCCAGCCTATTTAATTTTTTTATTTTGAGATAGGTCTCTCCAGGTTGCTTGACCTTAAAATTGTTATCCTCCTGCCTCAGCCTCCTGAGTTTTATGCACTACCATACCTTTTCACTTTCTTAATGGTTTAAAGCAAAACATTTTATCTTTTAATTGACTTATTTATTTATGGAACTGTGGCTTTAACTCAGTGGTGCTATACTACTGAGGTATAATTCTCATCCCTTTTTATTTGGAGACTTTTGCTGAATTGCTCAGGCTGGCCTTGAATTTGCAATCTTTCTGTCTTAGCTTCCTGAGTCTCTGTACCTGGCTAATGTATTTTAATTTTAATGGAATCCAATGTATCCATTTTTTTTTTCTTTTACGGTTATACTCTTGGGACTCTGTTGAAGAACTCTTTGCCTAACACATTCACAAAGATTTTCTCTGTGCTTTTTCTTGAAGTACAATTTGAGCTTTTACATTTGAGACTGGTCCGTTCTCCAGACAAATTTTTCATATTGAAATTATTTTAGAAAAGTTGTGAAGGTGCTGTGGAGAGTCCTCGTGTCCCTTGCTCACTTTCCCGGAAGGTTGACATCTGACACGACGAAGTGCATTTGTCAGACTGAGAAGCCCGCCTGGTACCTCACTGAGACCACACTGCGTGCGTTTAGACGTGGGGTCTGTTGGACTCCTGCTCTGTGACGGTCTCAGTCTTTCCTTGTTTTTCAAAACCTTGACAGTTTAAAGAACACTGGTCGGTATTTTGAAGTGTCTTCAGCCAGAGT